TTTTTGGTACAGGGACCTTCCGGTTTCCGGATTCACAGGGGAACAGACTAATCCAGAATCGAGCCGGGTAGGACCACAAGGGCGCCAAAGCTCTCTCTCAAGAGTTTTAACACTGTTGCATTCCCAGGGCTCGAACACGAGACCACTGGTTAAGCTGGAAGAGACTCAAACCATCTCATCCAAGCGCTCTTGGGTTATGTGAGGCTTATTAGCTATGTGTAATGGTAGCTATGTGTAATGGTCCATTAGCCTGTTGATGTTGTTCGACCTTGACTTCTTTTGGTACCGTGACTTGATTGCGGTTTCTCTCGGAAAATTTCCAAACTAGTCCCACAAGTATAGGGGATGACATTTTTGATCCCAACGGAATCCAGAAAATATTAATAGTTCCGCAACTTTTAAAAAATGATCAAAAGTAGGACTTTTTTCAATTTTTCTGTTTGGAAAGCCACGTCGCACACACGTGACGGGACTATTTAATATTTTCTGGATTTTGTTGGGACCAAAAATGTCACCTCTCAAAACCTGTGGGACTAGATTTGATTTTTTCCCTTGGCATTATACTCAGCCACGTCAGATGAATGTGGCCACGTGTGTGCGACGTGGCTTTTCGGGCCGGAAAATTGAAAAAAGACCTACTTTTGATCATTTTTTTAAAAGCTGCGGGATTATTAATATTTTTTGAATTCCGTGGTACAAAAAATGTAACTCCCTATACATGTGGGCATTGTTTTGAATTTTTCCCCGTTTCTCTTGGTGCACTGAAATTATTTCTTCAAAAAATAAAAAAATAAAAAAAGCCGCGTCACATGGTTTAAATTCATGAACATATTGGGTACACTTTGTTTATTACAAAACAATTGATTTATGACCCATTTAAGTTCCAACGTCGGTTTTGAGTTAAATATTCGACACTTCATGATTTATTAAATAAATGGATTGATCGAAATAAAATGTTTTCAAAGTGACCTCTTTTGTGTAAATTTATTTATTTAAATATTTACGATTGTTGTATTTTTGTAATTCATGTGTGTTGATAAGTCCAAAGGTAAAGTAACACATAGTCGAAGTACAAACATACTTTTGGTAATAAATATGTGACAATTATAAGGTTTTTATTCCAAAGATAGTTTTATAGTTTGACAAAAATTATTGTCAAAATTTGATTATTACAACAAGAGTACTATGTTTGTCCTATTTTTGTTACATTTTTTGTGGGCAAAAAAAGTTTTTTCGCCCTTTAACTGAAACTAGTTTTCAGTTTGGTCCCGTAAATAGACCATTTTTGAAAAGTCATGTAAGTGAAAAAAAAATCATTTTTTTGTGCTCTGATCGGCTATATCTGATCAACGTGACCGGCTAGGATACGTAGAAATTCGCCCAATTTTTTTTATTTGCTGAGTTGTATGCTTAGGTGGCGATTATGTGGCATAATTGCAAAACAATACAAGGAGAGGGATCGAACCTGGGACCTATGGTGGACTAAAAGGGCACATGAACCACTTAAGATAACACCCATTGTGTTAATTATTTAACTTCAATTATATATCTACCAACATCTTTTTATCTAATATATATATATATATATACACTAGTACGTACTCCATGCGATGCACGAGACAAAGATATTAAATGAGTTATTTTCACAGCCTTGTCCGTTTAAGTCTAAAAAGTAATAATGTTATTATATATTTTCTGCCTCTTTTAATCAACGTTAAGTCTAAAAAATTATTAAGCCGCCATCTGGCAAATATGTATGGAGTTATGTGTTCGTGTCTCATAAGTCGCAAACATTATGAATAACATTACAAATTATTCATTCAAACTTTATTCATTGCAAATATATTAAATAGTTTATATAACAGCCATTAAATACCACTTTCAATATATTTATAAATAAAAAGTACATAAAATTTCTGGTGTGTTCAAATTTAAATAATTTTTTATGGGCTCAATTTTAAATCATCCAGACATTTGATCAATAGCATAGGTGTGTTCAAATTTAAATCATTGGCATTTTGGTCGGTTGAAAATTAAATCATCTACCATGGTACTGTGATGTGTATTATATATATATACAATTTTTTAACAAGTAATATGTGCTTTATAAAAAAAAATAATAATAATTTCACAATATTTTAAACGTGAAATTTGGTTTTTAGTCACAATAGAAAAATCATGGTAAGTTGTATTGAAAATGTGTTATGAGATAAAACAATTAACTAAAATAATTAAATAAAATACTTGATAGAAATAG